ACCAAACTATCATTAATAATTTTATATTTTTTTAATAATTTTTATTCATATTTTTTAATAACTAAATTGTAAAAATAATATATATATATGGGTTTCGTGCAAGAATATAAGATAATTAAATAATTACTACACAATACTACGCTACAAGGCTCTACATTTTACTAGGCTAAAGGGGTCTACGTTTTACTACGCTAAAAAGGTCTACGTTTTACTACGCTAATAAAGTATACATTTTACTACGCTAAAAAATAATCTAAACTAAACGGCATAAAAACACATAAATATACATGAGGATATTAACAAACACATTTTTAGACTAATTTATATATTTTTATACAACACTAAAATTAAATCCGGATAAAATTTAACATGCTAGTTTCGGAAAAAATAAACACAAACCGAATAGAACACATACAAATCAAGTAATATGCATTGTTATAAAAGTTTCAACTTAAAATAAATCGAAATACCTCGATTTAGAATTTTTGAAATGTAGATTGATTTGACTCCGGAAGAGTGAATTCACAATAACACGAAGCTCTACTCGACAGTGGGACCACAAATATTAAACTTTTATGTGACGGGGGAACCCAAAAAATTTTTTTTTTTTAAAAATGGGGGCAGAATCGATGTGGGGGGGACCAGAAGTGAAAATGAGGGAGATGGAAGTCGGAGATGGAACGAAGAAGAAGAGGGGGGATTTGTATTAAAGGGTATAGCGCCACTATTAATGGCGCTATGTCTTCAGGTATAAGGCATATAGCGCCACTATTAATGGCGCTATGTAAGTTTGTCAGTATAACGCCATTAATAGTGGCGGTATACAGTAACAGTACAGTTAACGTTACTGTATAGCGCCACTATTAGTGGCGGTATACAGTAACAGTACAGTTAACGTTACTGTATAGCGCCACTATTAGTGGCGTTATATATACTTTGGTAACTTTTTTTTTTTTACACTTATTTGAATATTTTTAGTAAAAATAAACCATATTTTAGTTGCAAGTTGGACTTATGCATGAACCTCCTTTCCTCATTTCCTGTTATTCTTTTGGGTGATAAAATTACCGTGATAAAGTTACCGTTGTATTTTACTGACGTAAGGTATAGGCCCCCCCTCAAAAGACCGTTGCGCTTTTTTGGGATACAACACATTTTTTGGAATACAAGACAACCCATGACCTCAGCCCAGACCTCTGTCTGGAAAAAGGGACAAATATCAATGAAGTAACAAGTTAACCGTCGAAAAACAGTGACAAAGAAGCATTGAACACAACTAAAACAACAAACCAGCTATAACCAAGAAAGCAAGTGATCAAACATTAAATACATCCGAATACCAAGATATAGCAACTGCACAAGCATGCAAATCAAAAAGGATTACAAAAAAGAGCCCCATTTTGCATTTCCATGAAGGCAAAGGAACCGCCTAAAAAGGGTTAAAGCAAATGAACTAAACACAAACTAAATGTCCATAAACTACACTGCAAAACATTAAATTTCAGTACTTCACTAGGCCTTGGATTTGGACTTAGACTTATCTCCTCCACCAACATTTGACACATAAGTAGTCACAGCTTTTGTCCCTTCAGCAATGGCATGCTTCCCTAGCTCTCCCGGCAACACCAACTTAACAGCATCTTGAATATCCACCGACGCCAACGTCGCCCGGCCGACATACTTCGACAGCGTCGCCGCCTCACCGGCGATCCTCTCGAACATGTCCCCCATAAGATTGTTCAGTATAGTCATAGCCTTAGATGAGATTCCCATATCCGGATGAACTTGCTTCATCACCCTAAACACATACCTTCTGTACCCTTCACTGGGTCCCACTCCTCCACCCACTTTCGCCCTCTTCCTTTTCCTCTTTCCTCCTTCCTCTGTTCCGCCTTTGGCTTGTGCTGCTTTCTTCGCAGCTTCGGGTTTTCTTTTTTGGGCCTTTTTTTCCTCTTGCATTTTTGGAGGTGTTGGCATCTCGTCTGGCTCTGAAGCCGGTTGTGTTTCGTCTTCATCTTGCTGCTGCACTCTCTGTTCCTCTAGTTCCTGAGGTTGTTTTTCTTGTTCCTTTTGTTGCTCCTTTTTCTTACGTTGTGGAGTAGACCTGTCTTCAACAGAAATGGTTCTTTTAGGTGTTGGATCTTCAGAAGGTGGTGGAGTTAAAATATCAAATGATTCTTTGGTAGAAGAAGAAAGAATGTCAACAGTGGGCTGACTCTGAGTTAGAGTTTGAGTGTCCGTCTCAGTTTCGTCGGCGGCTGGTGTTACAACGACGGAGACGGTTTCTTCCACCACTTTCCTAGCGGTAACCACCGTCGTGCGCGGCCTTCCTCCACGTTTCTTTGGTGCCATGTTCGCTTTGTTTTTTAGCTCTGTTTTCCCTCTCTTTTGTGGGCTGTGTTTGAGTGGAAAACGTACGGTGGAACGATAAGGTCGTGCGATTTATGAAGAGGGGCATTTTCAGCTTTTTCACTGTGGAGAGCTTACTAGGAGAGAGACACGTGGAAGACAGGTGGCAAGTTAAAAGATACGTGGGTTAAAACTGAAGAGTAAAGAGGATTCTGGAGGAAGATTCAGCATTCTTCATCTTTTTTCATTTTTCTTCTTAAATTTTGAAACTGTCAACAGTGACAATCGAATATTGTCCTGTGGATATCTGTTCAAATATTTTGTGCAGCTTATTGAGATTTAAATGGAGTCCGGAATCGAAATGTGCTTTTTTGGATTAGGGTTGCGCATATATCCGATAAAATCGATAATCCGGACCTTTAATTATTTATTGGATTAATGGTTTAGAATTTTTTTACTATCGAGTTATCGGTTCGGGCCTCGATTTACCAATTTTGTTAATGAGTTAACCGATAACCCAATAAGAATTAATAAAATTATGACTTTACCCTTAACTATATATATATGCTAGGGCTTCAGTTCATTCTCTTCTATTCTTTCTCAGCCGCACTCTTGAACTTCATCTTAATTCTTCATAAACCTTATTAGTTATTCCTAGCGTAAGTCTTTAGTCTTATACAGTAAGCTTTTAATTTCTATAACAAAATTCATCTTTCATATTGGTATTTTTGACTATTAATGATTCTTTTTTTTTTATTTTTGTTTCTTAATTTTGTGAGCTCACATTGTGCAGCCTATACCTACTACCAATTTCTCTTCGCACTTATCAATTCTCAATCAACAATCTTCGTCAGTTTCGGGTATATTTTTTAACATTATTCTTCTGTACAGTACGCTGAGCTTTGACAAAAAGACAACATTTTCTTGCCTTCTAGGTGTTTTTCATTTCTGTGTTAGTATTGCCCATGCACAGATCAAGGTTTTGCTCTATGTTTTCTTTTTTCAGGTTAGGCATTTGATAAACAACATCCAGTTTATCTTAGACTGTTACTACTATATGTTTGGACTTATTAGTTTTAAGGTGAAATTGCTACTACATTATATTATTATTAACGTTGTATACGATAGAATCGACGGTTCGATTTTACGATCATCAAGGCATCTTGAGGATTTTCAGTGATCGATCCCGAGGGTTCTCGGTGATCGACTTCGAGGTGGTGTGAATTATGACCGGCCTCGAGGCAATGTAAATTAGTGATCTCGGTGGATCAAGGCAAAGTTCCCAAGGTGCGTACATATAGCTGACAGAGCCTAGTGGACTAGTCCAAAAAATGAATCAAGACATTAAATGGCTGTACCAGCCCCATATCTTTGTAATCAATGCATCTGTACTATGTTGGGATTCCCCCTCATATATAAAGGGGATCTTTGTCATTTTGTAAGGACCTGATGCTCAATACTAAATACACAAGAACATTCTCTCTGCTCTCTAACATATTCTCTTGATCTCATTGATTCATTTATTGCTTATATTTGTTGCGTTCTATTTATCATTCATCATTTATTGCTTATCATTGATCATAAAGAGCCACCATCTTTAGCTCTCATAACTATTAATCCCCTCCCCGATCGCTCTAAGCCGGTTACCTAACTCGACCTCGAGGCATTATAATCGGCGGCTCGAGGTCCCGATCTCCAACTGTTCGGCTCGATTGTCATACCATTTCTAAGCTGTAAACTTTATTTCTAACCCTCACTTAGCATCTATTGTCCAAATAACTAGCATAAAAATAGATTACATATTTTTTGAACAACAAAATCAAATTTAATTGTTATTACCATTTTCACGGTAAACAGTTTGGCGCCCACCATGGGGATAAAAATAATAGTGATTATTTTCTTGCTGGTTTTACTACGTAACACAAGTTATCTTTCACACTTTTTCTTGCGCAAGATCTTTGATTTCATGTCAAAATATCTGACTCAGTAAACAACAATCAAGAGAACCATGGAGAGAACGATGTGAATGTTCCAAGTGTTAGTGTACCACAACGAAACCCTAAGAACGCACCAGAACTAATTCTCGTGGATGTGGTCTCACGCAATGCCCAACACGTCGATATAAGCTCCCACACTAACAGGAGCGTGCACCAAAGAGACCAACAAGAAGATCAGAAAACCCCAGCTAGGGAAAAACGGGAGGTTAGCCTTCACGTTATTTTCGAAATGTTCAGCTGCAAAGTTACCAGAAAACTCCCAGCACAGTGGCACCAGGGATGGCTCCCCCAACCGAGAAAGTACCAGAGAGATCAAGTAGCAACGAGTCGGCAGCCAACTTCGCCATCGTAAAAATGCTTGAGCACCTCACGAGGAGGACGAATTGGGCGAGAAGAAGGTAGAAGCCAATGACAAGAAGGTCGAGACCTACAACTCCAGGGTCGACCAAATTCCGGGCGCACCCCCGATCCAGAAAGGTGTGGATTCAAAGAAGTTCGTACAGAAGCCATTCCCACAGGAAGCGGCCGGGAAACCCATTCCAAAGAAGTTCAGAATGCCATATTTTCCGAAGTACAACGGAACCTCCGACCCCAATGAGCACGTTACTGCTTACACTAGTGCAGTGAAGGGCAACGACCTAAAGGACGACGAGATCGAGTCCGTCTTACTGAAGAAGTTCGGAGAAACGCTTTATAAAGGGGCAATGATGTGGTATCACAACATTGCCCCAAACTCGATAGAATTATTTGCCATGCTGGCAGATTCTTTGATTAAGGCACATATTGGTGCCATAAAAGTAGCAACAAGGAAATCCGACATCTTCAAGATCAAGCAGAGGGAGAATGAGATGCTGCGAGAGTTCATATCTTGCTTTCAAATGGAACGAATGGAACTACCACCAGTCTCCAATGACTAGGCAGTGCAGGCCTTCACTCAAGGTCTGAATGAATGAAGCTCGGTGACTTCGAAGTAGCTGAAACAGAATCTGGTTGAATATCCCGCTGTGACCTGGTCAGACGTTCACAACCGATATCAATCAAAAATTAGGGTCGAGGATGACCAACTAGGAGCCCCATCGGGCTCGGATATCCAAGCAAGCTTCTGGCGAAAGAGCCAAAGCCAAACAAAGAATGGTACTAGCCATACACCAAAGACAGGAGAAACGCCCCAAGGTGCAACATACCCCGCAATGATCGAAGGATGGACCGAGGCCAGAATCCTCGAGGACTCATCAATAGAGCTAGATTCGATAGGCACAAAGGGCCAACGGAGGCACCTCGCTTGTCGGAATACAACTTCAACGTCAACGTATCAGACATCGTGTTCGCCATCAGTAAAATCAAAGACGCCAGGTGGCCCAGGCCTGTGCAATCAGATCCTTCGCAAAGAAATCATAACTTAGTGTGTGAATTTCACAACACGCATGGCCACAGGACCGAGGATTGCCATCAACTCCGAGAAGAAGTAGCCCGACTACTCAGTAAAGGTCACCTCCGAGAATTCCTCACCGACCGGGCCAAAAATCAGTTCCGGGAAAGAGAGGTGACCAAGAAGAACGAAACAAATAAGCACAACATGTCATCCACATGATCTTGGGAGGCATCGATGCCCCACAAGAGCCCATGATGAGAAGAACAAAAATATCCATCACTAGAGAAAAGCAAACTCGGGGTTACATACTGGAGGATGATCTCACATTCAACGACAAGGACATCGAGACCTTGTCTCAGCCTCACAACGACGCACTAGTAATCTCTTTCCTTGTAAATACATTTCAAATTAAACATGTACTTGTGGATCCAAGTAGCTCGGCCAACATTATCAGGTCGAGGGTGGTAGAGCAGCTCGGGCTGCTTGACCAAATCGTACCCGCCTCTCGAGTCCTCAACAGATTCAACATGGCGAGTGAAACAATGAAAGGGGAAATAACCCTCCCAGTTAATGTGGCCGGCACAACCCAAAATGCCAAATTCCATGTCATCGAAAGAGACATGAGGTACAACGCCTTGCTTGGAAGACCATGGATACACTGCATGAGAGAAGTACCATCCACCCTCCATCAAATAATGAAATTCCCAACAAAAGACGGAATAAAAATCGTGTACGGGGAACAACATGTAGCAAGGGAGATGTTCATAGTACACAATGTGGCGCCGACACCAGTACCTCCACCCTCGAAGGAGCCAAAGGGTAATCAAACAGTAAAATAGCGATAGCAAACTACGTCTTTGGCTAAGCCCGACTTAACAAAACAAAGGACTGTACCGAATCCTCGTAACAAACGATTAAACCACATCGAGATCCCAAGCGCCGTCAGCACTAAGGTGTGGCCATCCCCCTTTTTTTCAGTTACATTTTATACTAACCTGAATGCAGGTGTCCGATCAGAACGACCGAAGCGCTTACCAACTCGAAAGCTTTAGGTTTCAAAAGCATGTGTTGCACTCTTTTCCTTCGACCAGGTTTTTATCCCAAGAAGGGTTTTACCGACAAGGTTTTTAATGAGGCAACATCTATATGCTACCTAAGGAAGAACCAACAAGTATTCAAGGCTTCTTTCGCAATCAACCTCAAATACTGGGGGGCATCCCCCTGGAAGGTCACCTACTCGGAGAAGCTAAGATGTGCTAAGTGGGGTCTCAATAGGAAAATAATGTATCGGTCCAAACGGTCGAACGAACCGTGTCCACATAGAACAATCGAGCCCGTAACAGCAAAAACATGTATACTTGTACCAAGTAATCAAAGGAAATCGGTATTTTTGCAAAAACGACTCCTCTGTCAAAAACGTCCCCAACACTCGGGGACTGGCGTCAACAACTCAAAATAATGTGACCCTCGGGTCGAAGCTCCCAAGTTGTAAGCCCTCAATGAGGCAACATCAAGATCACAAAATAGCTCTAGAGCCAAAAATGTCCCGAACACTTGGGGACTGGCATAAAAAACACAAGGCCACCTGACCTCCGGGTTGGAAACTCCGAAATCATAAACCCTCAATGAGGCAA